GTGGGACTGCGCGCCCAGCCGAGGCCAGAGAGACCACGGCACAGCTGAGCAGGGCGCAGGAGCAGGGGAAAAGAGACTGCCTTCTTCCTGCCAGGGTATTTTAAACCTCTGGCTGGGTAGGCATGGTCAGAGGTATTGGTTGACCCCATTGGGTGAATCAAGCCCACCTGGGCCTAGTTTGGGCCACCCAGGTGTAACACCCACCTGGCTGGGGTGGGGGTGGGGTTGAATTGGAGCATGCCCAGTTAAGGTCTTTATGGGTGGCTAATGGTCGCCCTATTTTTAGCCCGAACCTCCTGTAGGGGACCTGTGGAGGCATGGGAGGAACAACCCCCCTGTCCCTGTCTGGCCACCAAAAGGTCAGTTCTCGGGACCCACCAGCCACTCTGTATGAGAAAGATGGGGCTTTTCTTCCTGTAAACAGTTACTGTCTCAGAAACCCCCAGGGGCCGTTTTACAGTCTCACAGGGTCGCTGTGAGTTTGAGTTTGGGTTTTGGAGTTTTATGCCTTATTTAAATAGCGTCCTGATGGGAATCTTCGGACGCCATTCTGCCCTCGGGGCTAATGCCCTCCGTCATCCAGATGATGTGTCTGTGTCTTCTTGTCTTTGCCCTTTTAAGATGTAATACATGTTTCCCTTAGATTTGAGATTGGGGTCTCTTTTGTACCCTAAAACAACAGAAAGGAGAGTCATAGCCTGTAGCTCACACCAGGCCAAAAGAACTTTGGCCAAGGAACAAGAAGTTGCTGGAAAACCCACCAGATCAACTTGGGCAACATTTGGAAGCAAATGGTCCTACAAGCCATTTCTGGTAATAGAGTCAAAATCTGCCCTGATGCATATTCATGAGCGTTCCTTGGAAATCTGTTGCATATTCATAACTCCCTCCATTTGTTTCCTGGTTACACAGGTATAAAAGTGCAAAACCCCTTTTCTGGAGCGTGCCTCAGTGACTCTCGTGTTGGCCGCTCCTTCATCAGCCAAACGAAAGCTTCCCCTTCACTGTCATCAGCCCCTGTTTCCAGCCGGGCCAAGCAAGACCTGGGCCAATCGCACCAATGTCTGAAATCGTACTCGTAATGTTTACAGTGGGGAGAAGCTGTTCCTTTATTAGTGAGCTCTTCGCTTATTTTGCGCTTTCCTTTCGCTGCCCCTGGGGCCTGAAGAAGAGGCAGCTATAAAGAATGGCTGAAAAAGCAGATGGCTCACTTTCAAGTAGAGAGCCTTTGGGGAAAACATGAATTCATTTGAGCTTCCAAAAGGGCACTGCTAGTGGAAACGACATCTCCTCACAAACATGTTCTACTCTACAAAGTGCTTTAGTTTCTCGCTCTAACACAAGAACCCCTTAGTTCTTCAGGAGCGCTTTCATGTGAGAGGCCCAGGGAAGAGGGCTCTGTTTTATGTCCAGATCATTAGAGGCTCTTCTAGGGAACACACATCTAATTGTACCATCAGTCTTTGGAAATGCTCAGAAGAGCCAGGTGTTTGGCATAAGGAGGGGCTTCTGCTGAAGATGCAGGCCAGGCATTTATTTTCTTCTTCTGTTTACTGTTTATTTTGAGAAAGTCAACCAACCAGCTTACCCCAGGATGCCTCCAGGCACCCTCCCTCCTTCCCGTTCTTGCAGGAAGACCTTTCACTCCAAGTAGAAAAACAATGTTTGAGAGGCCTTGCCATTGTCTGATGTCTGTTACAGCCTACTTTGTAAATGAACCAATCAGATGTTCTTGTCAGTTCCTCGATGCTGTGGCCATGTAAGCTCTGTGAAGAGATTTCCTTTCACTGCAGTACTTTGGTGAATCCTGTAAGGCACTGCCGATCCTGGATTGCTTTGCGCCATCAATAAACTCTCACATTTTTAACAGAAGCTCCAGCTTGCTCTTCAGGTCTAAGAGGAAATAAGGATTCTAGATACAAAGATTCAGCTTACACACAACTTTACTTCTCAGATAGTGTTGACGGCAAGAAAGCGAGGTTTCAACCACTTCTAAAAGGTGAATGACTATAAATTGAGCACTTTAATAATCTTTAGGTCAAGATAACTTTAATCACCTAAGTAGAGGTGTTTCAGAAGCTGCACTATGGTTTCTGAAACAGTCGAGACTCCCGGCTCCTTTGCCATTTTTACAGGCTGCTGTAGATGCGCTTGATGGCTTCGGCCTCTTCTGGATCAAGAATGCCTTTCTCCACATAAGCATCGGCCTGCTGGGTGATGAAGTCCCTCATCTTCGAAAGGTCATAATCTGAAAAAACACGAGAGTATCATAAGCAAGGGTGATGCTTTGCGATCCAATCCCGGTGACTCCCGTGAACCGAGAAGCATTTTGCTTCAATAACATGGCAACTATTCCCGTCTTTCATATGAGAACTCACTGCCATCCAGTCAATAGGATGGGGTTGAACTGCCCCTGTGAGTTTCTGAGACTGTAACTCTTTAAGGGAGTAGAAAGCCCCATCTGTCTCCCTGGAAGCTGCTAGTGGGGTTTTGAACTGCCCACCTTGTTAGATGGCAGCCCACCGCGAAACCAGGGCTCCTACTTCAATAGTAGAAAACATTGTAATTGTTAGCGTTGATGTAGTGCTTTGCAGGCAGGGCTTCACACCGGTTCATTTGCCTTTCCACCCCAGAGACTGAAACAGAGTCTACATTTTAACAAGGGCCCCAGGGGATGTTTATGCATGATTCGTACGTATATGAATGAAAGATAATGAAATTAGGGATAGAGAGGGTTGTCTCCACCAAAAGCCTATGCAAAAAAAGCTGATGGTGCCCGGCTATCAAAAGATATAGCGTCTGGGGTCTTAAAAGCTTGAAGGTAAACAAGCAGCCATCTAGCTCAGAAGCAACAAAGCCCACATGGAACAACATATCAACCTGTGTGATTACGAGGTGTCGAACGGATCACTGAAGACAAATGGGTGCATAAGCAAATGTGGCAAAGAAAGCTGATGGTGCCCGGCTATCAAAAAGTATAGCGTCTGGGGTCTTAAAGGCTTGAAGGTAAACAAGCGGCCATCAAGCTCAGAAGCAACAAAGCCCACATGGAAGTAGCACACCAGCCTATGCAACCACGAGGTGTCGAAGGGATCAGGTGTAAGGCATCATCAGAATAAAAAATCTTACCACAGTGAATGATGGGGGGAGTGCAGAGTGGAGATCCAAAGCCCATTAGAAGGCCACTGGAGATCCCCTTGCAGAGGGGTCTCGGGGAGGAGATGAGCTAGTCAGGGTGCGAGGTAACAATGGTGAGAAATACAACTTTCCTCTAGTTCCTAAATGTTTCCTCCCCGCTCCCACTACCATGACTCGAATTCGATCTTGCAAGTCTGGCTAGACCAGAGGAGGTACACTGGTACAGATAGGAACTGAAAATCCAGGGAATCCAGGACGGATGAGCCCTATAGGACCAGTGGTGTGAGGGGCAAAACAGGGAGGGTAAAGGGAGAATGGGTAGGAAAGAGGGAACCGATTACATGGAACTGTGTGTGACTTCCTCCCTGGGGGACGGACAACCGAAAAGTGGGTGAAGGGAGACGTCGGACAGGGCAAGATCTGACAAAATAACAATTTATAAACTATCAAGGGCTCATGAGGGAGGGGGGAGCGGGGAGGGAGGGGAAAAATGAGGACCTAATGTTGGGGGTTTAAGTGTAGAGAAAATTTTTTGAGAAACGATGTACAAATGCGCTTTACACAATTGATGTGTGTATGGATTGGGATAACAGTTGTATGAGCCCCTAATAAAATGTTAAAAAAACAAACAAACAAACAGCTGGCCATGCCACAATCAAGGATTGCAAAGAAATCAGGCACACCTTAGACGCCTATGAAGACAATCCAAAGCTGAGCATGCTCAGACCCAGCTCACCTAGGCCCAGGTGATCAACCTGGGCACACCCACACTGGGCACCAGCGACATTACGTCACACACATGCGCCTGAACTCAGCCACGAGGCTGGGCCGATACCCTCAACCAGGCCCCCACAGCCAGTGGGGCTGGGAGGGTTAAGTAGCAGACCGAGGGCAGGTCGTGCCATGTCTTTCAGGTGCTCTTTGCCGGTCGGAGGGAGGGATCTCCCCCGTGTGCTCAGCGGGCGCTTGCTCCCTCCTGGCTGACTCAGAGGCCACAGAGGGCCACCTGTGCATCACTGGCGATGGCCTCTGAGCACTGGCTCTTTAGCATCGGTGATAATGGCCACACCTTTATGGAACAAACCGCAGGCTCCCAAGGACCCATGTGCAGAGGTCCTGGTCAGCTGAACAAGCAATCAGGAAAGCATGATGCTTTTGAAACAATGAGACCATCCGACTTCGTGTCTGTTGAATGTAACTAACAGAGCATTTACGGTGTCCAGCTGGGAAAGCAGCAAAGTGTAGGGAAAGAAGGACCTGGGTGCTAATCCCAGCCCTGCCCGAAATGCCAGTGTATGTCGCGCAAAGCACCGAACCACCTAGCTAACCTCCAAGTGCTTGTGAGGCTCAAGAGAGAGAAAAGGCTGTGATGTGCTTTTTTAAAGGTGAAGCCTTGTGTTTTTCTTTCCAGATTTATGTTTGCGTCAGATTTTAGTACTGCCCTCACTATCACATTCCCTGGGACTTACTTTCCTGGGTTTGGGGAAGACAGGCCTCTGTCATCGGACATTAGCAAAGCCTAAGGATGGTCCGAGCTCATAGAAAGGCTTCCTGCTCACACAGCTGCTGTCAATCACTGGGTGGCCCTAGGACCCAGATCTCTGCAGGCTGCACTCTGCACAGGTCAACAGAGCACTGACAGGGGTGAAGGAGAAAATTCTCCCTTCTGCACACGTGTACTGCAGGCAGAGGGGAGCACTGAACCCAACACTGCTCTTCTGAAGTCTGTTCACAGCGCCTTCAATGGGCAGGCACCCAAGTGTCATGCTTCACTAGGCTGACCACTTCTGCAATTGGAAGACTGAATTCCAGGGTGGTGCTGCTTATGACCGAGAGTCGGATTCATATGGGAGTCAGGAAAAACAACAGCACGCATCACCAAATTGGCAGGGCAGGCCATTCGGCCACTTGTATTGGTTTTAGAATACATACTGTATTTCACTGATTCATATATATACATATAAAAGTTTTTCTTTCATACCAAAGGCAATAGACTTTGGAGCTGACCAAAAGGGAAGAGGAGGAAGCAGCAGGCTAGGGGATTGGCAGATAATAACTTGGGTGGAGGGGACAAGAATAATCTACAAGAGGGTGAAGAGAAATCAAAGGATGGGGTAAGGTAAACTCTGGGAGAGGGGTGATAAATTGTTTCAGCTGTGGAATACAAAATTGATGATCTGACATGTCAATCCTCACCTGATCCACAATAAAGAAAATAGGAGGGGAGGGGGAAAAGAGGAGCTGATACCAAGGGCTCAATAGAAAGTAAATGTCTAGAAAATAATGATGGCAACAGATGTACAAGTATGCTTGATGCAATTGATGTATGGATTGTGATAAGAGCACCCAATAAAATGATCTTTTAATAAAAACAGAAAAGAAAATAGCTTTGTTTTTTTAAAGTCTTTGCAGACCTGGACGACGTATCATCATTTACTTGGTCATATTATAAATAAAACAATTATGCATTTCTCAACCGAGAAGAGTTTTGATGAAACAGGGCGCATGTGAAGTTTGGCATACTCAGCACCCACATCTTTTTGAAAACAAAGGCAGAGCGATGTATCTCAGCTAAACACCTTCCATCAATGTACAAGCTCACCAGCCTAAAGCCACCAACCCTAACCCCAGGGCCACGGAGTCAATTCCAGCTCTTAACACCCCTACAGAGAGCCTCTTAGACCGTGAGTCTTTACAGGAGCATCAGGCCAGGCCCCGTATTTCTCCCCTGGAGCAGCGGGTGGGTTTGAACTCCTACTGACTTTGCAGTTAGCAGGCCGGCCCAAACCCACGGTACCACCAGGGCTCCTTTACAAGCCCGAAGGGTGCTGAAAGTACTTCTTTCCACAGCGCTCCACATCTCAGTGGCCATTAAACTTAGCTGCACACTAGAATCATCTGAGGAGTTTTGGAAATGCTGATGTTTGGGTCCCGCCCTAGAGTTTCTGCTTGCGTTTGACCTGGGCTTCGGGCGAGACAGTCAGTCCCCAGGTGATCTGCAGGCACCTCGCACTTGAAAAGCATCATGTTGCTTCTGCTCTGAGCAGACACCTTTCCCTTCCCACTAGTCTTGTGAATGTCCCCCCTCCGGCCCCAATTCTCTATTCCCTCTGTCTCTGCTTCAGCCTCATCCTTTCTGCTCCAGACCCTTGTGTCTCTACTGCTTTCCCAGTTCCCAGCGTCTCTCTTTTATTTATCTGGAATCACATAGCTGCCAACTGGACTTCTCAGCTCATAACCTCAGTAGACCTTAATTTCCACACTTACATTTAGTCTCAGAAATCCACAGGGACAGTCCTACTTTGACCTAGAGAGTTGCTCTGAGCCTGAAGGAACTCAATGGCGTTGACTTTGGTTTTCGGTTTGCCCTAAACCTAACCTGGTTTGAGGCTGCGCAAGCCTCTTCCTGTCTTCCCACCTGCCCAGGCCTGCCTGGCAGTCTTCCGACAGACACCCCACGCTCCTGTGAAACTAAATAGCTCCAGTTCCCAGCAAGCACCTCTCTCTCTAATCAATCTCTCTGGACTCTCAGGGCTCCCTCTGCCTCCACCTGTCTTCAGTTGACAAATTCCTATTCATGGTTCCAGCGAAGGCGCCCCTGTGGCCCTTTCTCTTACCTGTCTCTATCTGAATGAGAACACACACCTCGTCCTCTCTCCACCTCTGCACGGCTGTGAGCTCTTGAGGAGGGTGGGTGTTGCATTTTCCCAATCTTTGAATTTTTGACACTCAGGGCAGGGTCTAGTTCTGTGTTTTAAATGAATGAATGACAGTTTTCATCTCACGTCTGTATTCAGAAAATATCTTGGTTTAAAATGTTCCAAGAAAAGAGGGGCAGTAGATAAAACAAGGACTTTGTGGTACAAATGACCACTGCTGGGCTGCTTACTGAAAGGCTGGAGGGTCAGTGGTGCCTTGGAAGCAAGGTGTGGCGATCTATTTCCAAAAATGCAGCCCTCATCACACACACATGATCACTGAAGACAAAATGGGTACATAAGCAAATGTGGTGAAGAAAGCGGATGGTGCCTGGCTATCAAAAGATATAGCATCTGGGGTCTTAAAGGCTTGAAGAGAAACAAGTGGCCATCTAGCTGAGAAGCAACAGAGCCCACATGGAAGAAGCACACCAGCTGGTATGAAGAACAACAGAAACCAGAGGGGGAAGGGAGACAGCGGTCGGTGTGAGATATGAAAATAATAACAGTCCATAATCTATCAAGGGGCCATGAGGGTGAGGGGGAAGCAAAGAGCTGATTCCAAGGGCCCAATAGAAAGCAAATGTCTAGAAAAGAACGATGGCAATATATGTGCAAATATGTCATACAATTGATGTATAGATTGTAACAAGAGTAAGAGTCCCCAGTAAATTGATCTCATCAAAAACAAACAAAAATGCAGCCTTGGAAACCCTGTGGCTTGCAGTTCTGCTCTGGCAGATGTGGGCTTTGCCATGGGGTGGAGCTAACTGGGCAGTAACTGGTGGATAAAACGAGACTGGCAAAATGTTAATACTGATGGAAGGTGATGGATGCACGGGGATTCACTACACTCCACGCTCTACTTTTGCCCAACAGCTTTCATAAACAGATGGCTTTGAAAGATAAGAATGTGGAGGCTCTGCTCCTTTCTGCTTCTGAGAGGCAAGTGGAGTCGTTTGGGTCTGGGAGGAGAGACTTTCGTTCAGTCTATCGGGTTGTGAGACTCTTTAGGTTAAAAGAACTCCCAACAAATGTGAGGTAGGTAGTTTATTGTGCCAACCTGGCTGATAAACACATGTGGGGTTAATTGAAGGGCGGAGGGATAAATGGCTCAGTGAGCCTCACCTTTCTAGTTCTCAGGTCTTTTGCTTTGTGATGGTCCCACCAGGGTGCAGCTGCCTTAGCCAGTTCCTGGCTTCAGCTGGCAAGGCTCACTTCCTGCAAGACATCCCTGAGGAGAAGCCACATGGACCTACCCCGATGCAGCCCTGGGTGCTGGAGCAGCCGTGTGGAGACCCCTGCCAGCACTGAGATGCTTACACGTTCACTGATTTGGCTTTCCTCCTGCAGTCGGCGTCATAGTGTGTGTTTTGTGAAATGGAGGACTTTGTGGATTGGTGGCGGACATATGGGTTAATGTTGGACTTGTGGGCTTGGGCAGCACTGGGTTGGGATGTTTTCTTGATGCGCACTTAACCTTTATATAAAACTCTCTCTTGTACATGAGTTTCTGTGGATTTATTTCTCTGGAGTACCTAGACTAATACAAAATGGTTGATATTTTCATTGTCCAGCCACACCAAATGCCTACCTTCTTTATTTCCTTTTTTGTCATGCTTCTTCAACCAGTCGATATTTTTCCTGATGGCTTCCAAATAGGCTTCTGTTTTCCCTGGAGAAGGCAAGACAACCACATTAAGTCTTTGTCAAGTAAATACTGGATCTTTTTCTAAAGAGTATATATACATTTGACATATGTGAGACATTTTTATTTACCACCTTTCATTTTCTTTCTCTTGGGACGTAAGTGAAAGTTTATGGGGGCATATTGGTTTTGCCTTCAGCAATCCTCACACATTTTGACTCCTGACATTGATTGCATCCCCACAAGATAAACAGCACTGTTCCCACTTCCTCCGCCTCTTTTAGCACTTCCTGCCTTTCCAGCTTTATCCCTGGGGAATGCTCCTTTTCGGTTCAGCATATTTGATTGCCCTATGGAGTGATTCATTGCTTACCTGATAGGCCTGCTAGTGTTTGGCAGGAAGTTGAGCCAGGGGGTGAGTTTGGTTCTGGGCTTGAAGGGAGTCTTAGCGAGTCTCAGTAAGCACACATATTTAAAATCACAAACCAATGTTGAACTTATCAAGCTCTTGTGAGGTGTTGTCCATAAGCTGGGGAGCATGTGTGTGTATGTGTGTACACTGGGGAGGTGTTGAAGCGAGCAGGCAGGTGGGTTCAATGCCAGGAGACAGGAAGAAGCATGTAAATGTCTAGGAACCACTATTTCCTCCACATGCAAAAATCGAGTTGGGTGTCTAGACAAAGAGTTTTTGTTCAGGTTACTGGTTAGGTGGGTGGGCTCCCTTGTGGGTTTGAGCTATTCATTGTTAAGGATAGTTTTTTCAAACTGAAGTGCATTATGAGGTCAAAACCGGAAAAGCAGCAGCCGAGAAATTCCTTCACCTTGGTTACAAGCCCAAATGTGCGAGACTGTGTAAATGACTGTACAAGTCTGCTGCCCAGTTCTGGGGGTGGGGGTATAAAAACTCAGATGGTGGTGAGCCCGAGAACTAGTTCTAACAACATGGATGCAAACATTCTTGAATGGGCCTAGTGTGTTGTAAGAGGACATTGGGCACCGATGATGCCCTTTGTCTGTATTGTTGTCTGAAATGTGGGGGTTCACATCATCATGAACTTATGAGGTGGTACCCCCCACCAAAATGCAGGTTTTTTTCAAAACTGCATCTAATTTTTTTTTACAAAACAACCTTATTACCTTCAAAGTACTCTCCATTACACTTAATACATTTGCCAAATCTGTGATTCCATTCGTGGGAACATTTTTCAAATGGATAGCAGACAGCACCTCCCTTGTTTTTTTCTTCGCTTCTTCTATGTCGTCAAATCGCTGTCCTTTCGTGTCTTCATCCGCGGAAACAAAAAGAAGTTGCATGGAGCGAGGTCAGCTGAGTAAGGTGCATGGGGCAAGAGAGGCATGCTGGGGTTTTTTTAGCCAAAAACTGGAGCACTGAGGTGGCTGGCTGCATGAGCAGGTGCATTGTCGTGGTGGCAAAACCAATCCTCCAGAAATCAGTCCTTTTTTGTCACATAGTGTTATGCAATCTTTTCAGAACCTCTAAATAGAAAGCCTGATGAACCGTCTGACCTGGTGGGATGAACTCCAAATGCACTACATGTTGACATTTTCGTCCATTCAGGAAGCTGACAGACATCTAGAACGAGGTTTCTCATCAATTGGCATTTTACCTTTTTGGAAATGGGAAAACCACGTGTACACTTGAGTGTTCCCCATAGCACTGTCCTTGTCAGCTGTGTTCCACATCACAACAGTTTCTGTGTCATTTTTCCCGAGCAGGAAACAAGATTTCACAGCCGCATGCTGTTCTCTTAAATCAGCCATCACAAAAAATGAGGTTTGAGCAAAACTGCTTCTATGAAAAAGTCACTGTGACCAGAGAGAACCTTCCCAGGCAACACCACTGGGTGCACTAACTCAGAGCGAGTTGCTATATACTTGCTTAGCAGGAAAAATTTGTACTATGCAAGCTCCACCCTGCTGCATTTTTTTTCTGGTTTTTTTTTTGGGGGGGGGCATACCCTCTCGTGTATAAGAGGAAACTAAGGTTCAATGAGGGTGTCTTGGTGAAGGCCACACAGAAAATAAACTGAGCTAGAATCTGAACCCTTATCAGTCTAGTTCCTGACACCTGCATTATCTAAAAGAAGATATTTCGTTCTTTTTAAAATCATTTTATTGGGGGCTCATACAACTCTATCACAACCCATCCATCCATCCATGGTGTCCAGCACATTGGTACCTTTGTTGCCATCATCATTCTCAAAACATTTTCGTTCTACTTGAGCCCTTCGGGTTAGCTTCTCGAAAGAAGAGATTTCATCCTCAGACATCCTACAACCCTGATGTAGCCTTGTTTCGTCTCAAGGACAGACAAGGTCCCTAATGATCAGAGTGTCTGCACATGAGTCCAGATGGCTTGGAGAGACTTCATGGCTTAAGAGACCTGCAAAGTCCAAAACCTCGGCAGAAGTAATGGCTTCCAAAGCTTAGTGTGGTGACCAACCCTGTAAATCCTGTCCCTTCTAGCGCCGGTGGTCAGTGGCCAGCACCGACAAAAACGTTGGTCGTTCAACCCCCAGCAGCTCAATAGGAGAACGATGACCCTCTCTGCTTCCATAAAGATGTACAATCTTGAAAGCCAAGCAGGGCAGTTTTACTCTTTCCTACAAGGTCACTGTCAGTAAGAATTAACTAGATGGGAGTGGGACCTTTAGTCTACTCTCCAGACCTCTTGGTTGGGCTACCTACCTATAAGCCAAAACAAACAAACAAACAAACAACAAACTCACTGCCATCAAGTCTATACTGATTCCCAGGGAGCCTGTGAGACAGGTAGACCTGTCCCTGTAGGTTTTCAAGACTGTAACTCTTTACAGGAGTCAAAAGCCTCATCTTTGTCCCACGCAGTGGCTGGTGGTTTCAAACTGCTGACCATGTGTTTCAGAGCCTACCAGGAATCCACTTGACCACTAGGGTTCCTGGAGCTCTCTATACTGTATGTTCATGATGTGCCAGGCATAATGTTTTGTGTTCCAAATTGCTTTTTCTCATTTACTTTGTACAATATCCTTGAAGGTAGTCTTGCTGTTTTGTAGATGAAGAAACAGGCACAAAGAGATAAAGTAACCTGCCAAGGTCACATGACTAAAAGTAGTATAAACTCAAACCTATGTACAGCCATCCAGTCGATTCCGACTCACAGCGCCCTACAGGGCACAGCAGAACTGCTTCCTAGGGTTTCTGAGGATGTGAATCTTGAAATCTTTTTTGTGTGTAAATCTTGAAATCTTTATTCAATCACAAAGCTTGATCTTCTTCCCAAGGAGCAGGTGGTGGGTTTGAGGTGGCTACCTTTTGGTTACGCAGCCCAGTGCACAATCCGCTACACCACCAGAGCTCTGTAATAAGTAGTATGTCGTACATCATTTATGTTGTAGGTAACAATACTTCTTTTTTTTTAACAATATTTCCTTGTACAGAAAGACCACATTTTGTGTATCCATCCATCAGTGAATCAATATTTGTATTGTTTCCTATTTTTGATTGTTGTGAATAATACTGATAAAAACATTCAAGTGTGGGGGGGGAAGTATAAACCCATTGAGTTGATTCCAACTTCTATCGACTCTATAGAGGGTTTCCAAGGCTAAACATATTTACAAGCGCCGTTAGCTTCAACGTTCTCCTCCAGAGAAGCAGATAAGTTTGAACCAAGTCCATGGCTTGCCCAACAATGCCTCCCAAAACACCAACTTCACTGCCATCGAGTCAATGCTGACTCATAGCGACCCCTGTAGGTTTCTGAGACCGTCACTGTTTATGGGAGTAGAAAGTCCAGTGTTTGTCCTGTGGAACTGCTGGCGGTTTGCAGCCCAGCACGTAACCACGGCACCACCAGGCTCCACAGTGCCAGCAGGGCTCCTTTAAGAAGTAGTGTCAAATGATCTTTTAATTAAAAAAGAGAAAAAGAAGAAGGAGTGTAAAACTTAAAAACAAAACAACCTACTGCCATTGATTCTGATTTCTAGTGCTATTATATAGCAGGGTTTGTGAGGCTGTCAATTTTTATGGGAGCAGACAGCCTCATCTTTTTCCCACGTAGTGGCTGCTGGGTTTGAACCACCAGACTTACTGTTCACAGTCTTAAACCTGGGTACATCTGACTATGGTTTATGTACAATATATCACTGCCTTAAAATTTGCCAATGTTCCAATTTCTGCCAATGTCTTTCCTTAAATGACTTCCTGGGCATCTTTCTTCCTGTTCCTGTAAACCCACTCCTGCCTCACTCCTGGGGCTTCCTGTCACCTGGTCCATGCAGAAAGGAGTAAGTGGACAAAGGAATAGACCCGTCATCTCCAGCAAACAACCTTGACTCTGTGCTTGGCTTTCGGGGTTGTCAGAGCATGTGAAAGGCCAGTGTCCTTCTGGCCGATGTGATAACATTACAGGCGATCAATACACAGATTTTCATGGTCTGCTGTCCGTTGCTGACAAGGTCAAATGGATTTGGTAACATAAAAACAGTATTCTCTATTTCAAGTTAATTCAGTTAGAAAAGGCATTTCGCACAAGGAATGAAGTCTTAATGTGGAATATTTCTAAAGAACGCAAGCTCATGATTTTGAGAGATTAAGTCAAATTAGGCATCCTCCTGGGCCTGCTATAATGAATAGATAATCATGATTTATCATTTCCACATTAGGCAATTAGGGCTTCTGAAACATTTGAGAATGATTGAATATCGTTTCATTCTTTAAATAATCTTAAGCACTCTTTCCACAGTCTCGTATACGATGTCACGTCACAATACAGAGAATTGGAGAACAGGACCACTGTGCTTCATTCTGAATTAAAAGAATCTTCTAAAGATGGAAGACATTTTTACAATAGTGTAGCAGCTAGTGTTATCCCTCCCCCTCTCTAGACATGTCATGAAGCAGGCCGCAGTCAAGGATGGTGGCACTGGAAGATCAATAACCCAGCTTCTTTGTTCTTCAGGTGGGACAGCCCTGAGCCACGCTGCACAGTGTCTCCCAGGGCCTGGAGCGGGGGTCGGGTGGGG